TTGTCGTGAAGTAAGTATGGGATTTCCCTCGCTGACTGCATTCGTTTTTTAAGAAGTGCCGTTAAGTTATAAACTTTGGAGGTACTTTCAAGTGCCGTTAACTCTTCGTCGAGGTCCTTTTGAGAACGTAGGCGCTTGATAGATTCAAGAGACTCGTGGATTGAGAGCAATAGTGATATGTCCTTAGTGGAATAGTACTGTTTCTTCAGTTTCCTTAACTTATTACGGTGTGCCCTTGGAATATATTCAGTTCGGTGTCTACTTAATTTCACTATTTTATTTGGGGCAACTGTATCTAGACAAAGGGTAACATTCCTGTAAAACAGGGTTACTAAGGCCTCCAGGGAGTCAGTGGTAAAATAGTCATCCCATTGACAGAGTCGAATAAGTTCTTGGACTAATCCCCAGTCTGTATATTTGTAACTACGACATATTGTGCTTCCTGAGTCTTGTTTGTTTCCTGTATTTAGTGGTGAGAAAGGCAGAGAGCAGAGTACCATTCTATGGTCACTACTGGAAAATCTATTACCAACATAGTGGATACTGGGATTGTGTCATGACAAAAAACAAGGTCCAAATGTTGTCCCCACGAGTAGGTGTCTGGACGTGTTGTTGCCATCCATAACAGTCTATAGTGGCAAGTAATTCGTCGAAGCGTTGGGGGCCGGAACTAGTTAGCCAATTGACTTCTGGAAGATTGAAGTCCCCTGCAATTATTTTGTAATTAGCACTAAACGAGGATGCGTGTGCAAACGATTTAGCTAATAACGCATCAGTTTCTTTTGTTGCGCTTGGTGCTCGATAAACACAGCCTATGAGAAGTTTGTACTTATCTCCATGTAAGACAACCCAGAGTGAGTCAGGTACATTATTCATTGTTTCATCTTCCACCTTACTGACTACAAATGAGTTATGTATATATATGAGACATCCTCCACCACGCTTGCAATCTCTGTTTGCACGGTGTACAGTGTAATCATCGATACCTATATGCACATCAAGTACTGAGGATGAGCACCATGACTCAGTAATCAGAGCTACAGTAGGCTTGGCGACTAATAATAATGTCCTTAGTTCAGATATCTTATTGATTAAGGAACGTGCATTAATTAGCAATATCGTGAATAAGTCACGGGATACTACAAACTGGCTTAAAATGTCACCATAACCTAAATCTATTTGTGCGTCAGCACCGCAAGAATTTATGAATGAAAAGGAGGTCGGACTGGGTGTCTGCACATCGGAGTTGGTGTGCAATGAGGTGGTCCTAGGTGCCATGGGTCGTACCAGTGATTCAGGACACCTGGAAAATTTACCATGTGTTCCTGGATATAAGGGTAGTACAGGTTGGGCCTAGGTTGACGGTTAAAAGGCATAGCATCAGAAGGTCTACCCATCCAACTGCTATTCGTCATACCGGTATACACCTTCGGGTTGTTTTTATAACTTAAAGGGAATTGTGAAGGAAGGTGCTTTGGCTGCAAGACTTTAGGAGTCTTGGAGCCTGACTTTCTATAAGGTGGAGCATGCGGAACACCTCCAGATGTACTTATGTTTCGAGAGGAGTTTTTCGTAACAAGTGATGGTTTGTTGGCATTCTTACTCTCAGCAGGCTTATTGAATACAAAGTATTCTTCCCCATCATTAGTCTCAACCCTGCGAAATTTGTTCATCGTGGTGAGGTTACTACGTTTGGGGGGAAATTTCTTAGAACAACTTGCAGAAGTTCTAGTCATTTTAACATCTTTCGATGAGGCTTTGTTTACAGGGGTACTGGTATCTAAATCAGTTCCTAGTTCCATTGGCAGGTGTGGTTGTTGTGTAGTTTGCTGAATGCTAGTTTCAGCACTAGGTGTCTGTTGCTGTGCACGATCCTTTTTTGGTAAATCTAAGCTAGAGGAGGTGACCAGGTTATTACTACGCATTATTCTGCGCTGACACGGTGTTTTATCCTGAGCTACGGTTATAGACTTATAACTGCTATTCAGTCTTAAGTGATCCTGACATTTAGTAAACTTACTAGCATCAAGGGAATTACTGAATTTAAAAATGATTGGGCAATTAGCCTGGTTAGACTTTTTACGAAGTCGTTTGCATTCACATGGAACACTAGCCATGCCGCAACAAATCAGGATTTTGTGTCTTACAGTTTTCAGGGGCAGAGAATCTGGGACGTTGTAAACTATAGCTTGGTGAGAAGAGGTTATACGCTTCATCACCTCCGTAGCCAAGCAGTCAATCAGATTTTCAGCTTTATTTAGGTTGTCTGGAGATATTTTAGGATGCCTTTCTAAAAGACAGGCTATTGGGTCTAAATTCAAAAGCTTATTTTGAGTTACATCCAGTAAACACTTAACCTGGCCAATATCAGAACGGCTCTCCGTGGTATTTGAGATTGGCAGTGACATACTATCAAACTGATCTAATTTTTTCTGAATTTCACTTACTTGCCTCTGCATATCTTTCAAAAGGAGGTTTAGTTTACAGAACTCAGAGTTCTCTAACAGAACATCTTTCACCTGTATCACAGGAGTGAGATCTGCACTCAAACCATTTTGAGAGCTAGTAGTTGATACTGTATTACGAGGCGGTAATGCAGTTATAACCGAATTTAAGCCACTATCTAAAACAATTGTGTTTCTACGAACACGTTTTTTAGAGATTTGGACCATAATTTCAAGAATTATATGACAATAAGCAGTAAATAAATTTCAGAGCAAACACGTGCAAAAATGTCACCAATTTCGAAGTCAATTGACTTCAAGTGCTGTCGGTTAGCTAAAGATGAGAGCATTAAAAAACAAGACCGAGAGTGTAGTGTACCCTAAGGAAGTTATGGACAAAAAGAAAAAGCGAATATCATATTGGCCTTTTATGGCCCTCCATACGGATCCGACCATTGGTGAGAAAACCAGCCTCATGGGGAATAGCCATGGACGAAATTTCAGATAAACCACTGAAGACTGTCAGAAACTTAAAAAGTGATTCTGGAATGCCAACATCGCCGATGGCTAAACCAGTAAAATTCACTGCTACAGAATCTTAAGGATGTCTAACGCGATAAAGAAAGGCTGTCATATATGATGCATGTGATAATTCTTAATAAGACTAATATAGGCAAATGTGATCTTCAGCAGATAAAGGTACTCTGAACAAAGGATTTTAGTTGGGCTGAATCAATACTTGATGAAGTGCCCGTCTAGAGGAATGTTAAAATAGAACTTGAACCGAGGCAACGAAACCTCCTACCTTACCAGGAATTCCTTATTGGATAACCATGTAGTATATATGAACTATAAAATTGCACCGGAAAGTAATATATTGCACTCAGGATGTTATTTTATAGAAATACAAGGCCTGTATCGCTGTCTAGCTGTCATGCGGAAAGAGTGCAAGTGAATGACCCAGACAGCTCATCTAACTATCTGAGAATTCATTTTGTCAATTGTTCTACACCAGTTCTTGCAGACAACAATCACACAACCCTATCCGATGACGGCGCTCATGGGGTTATTTAAGTTTGCCAGTTAAATTATTGGTATATAAACATCAAAATTCACTGAGCCACAGCACAAATCTTGTAAAACTGGCTAACCGAGAGCTAAAAGATTCCGCTAGGTCCACAGAGTCATTATTGGCACTGACACCAACAATGTTAATCTAAAATAACTGTTGCCGCAGAAATCCCTAAATTATTGAACCTGTAATCCTCACTATTTGCAGTTCATATTTTGAAAGTCGCACCGATTTGATGCGCTTGAAAAATGTACCCTTCGGTAGAGAAATTGTATAACATTGATTATACAACCATTTAAGTAATATTACTAAAAAGGCATTTCATATATCCACCTGCACTAATTGTGAATAAATGTTTGACGCTTTACTGTTAAGTGTCATATTTTTGACGGTCATAAACAGTAGTCTCCTTTGCACAAAACAATGAGAATGGACGTCACTACTCCTGTGTATTGTGCTTGAGGATGGAAGGTCCCCAGACAGTGTATTCAAAACTGTATAGATGACGTCTGACTACCTATTTACAGACCTAAAATGTAAATCTTTGCTACGCTTTCCAAGTCGATACACACTATCATAGGATGACTGTAAATATCTGTCAAGGCTAAGGCATGCATTTCATCTTCAAAACTTGAACTTTTAGTTCCAGAACTAAACTTTTTGTGATGTGAAAGACTTTTTCAAATGAATGCGTTATTTAAAATTTACCCTAGAAAAAGTCAACAGAGCTGGTTATTTTTTTAATGATAGCTTGACTTCACACTGTATTTTTGGTACAAGAATGGAATTTTCAGCATGGATATCGGTAGTCCAAATTTTGCAGGCTAACCATAGATATCAGGTGTTTTCTGAAATGTCTCATGGTGCTAACCGTTTGCAACAGGTTAACACTGTAAGCCGTTAATAGAGTTTACAGTGGTGCTGGCAACCAATAAGACTGAATTGTCAAAATATTTCACTTTTGTAAGGGGAGTTTATCAACACTGCTTTAAACGTTATTATTTCACTTGTAACATTCTTTTATAAAATTGGTTAACTGCTGATAGCTATGAATATACGGACGACATTTCTTATGATTTATAGCGGGGATAGCGTTTTTAAACCGGCATTCACCATGGATAATTAGTGAGAATAAACTATTAATTATATTACGATTAGGAGTAAATCATATGTTCTGTCTAAAAGACCATTTAAATTGGTAGCAATTCTATAGTCTCCTATTTTGGCATTTCCAGTGGAGTGCTGGTATTATGCAGGTGAATTCCTTTTGGATAAAAAATATATCATAGAATACGAAAAAACGTACACATCTATACGTATTCGTGACTTTGTTTACTCAGAATACACACCAAAAATGAATGAAGTTAGTGCTCCTTATTTAGTATATTAAATATTTTCAACATCGTTTACTCACAAGGGATCTCTATACTGCTCTAAATAAACTAACACATGATTCATATGTTTTCATTGTTTTACTTAGTTTGTTTGCGAAAAGTATGCATACACCTCGAAACGCGGGGTTTTGGTTCTGAGGCTTTTATTGAGATTATGATTGAATGGGTAAATAAACCTACGTAAATCGAGTATATATGCATTATTAGAGTAAGTGAACGCAAAACGTGTATTTTGACGCCAGAAAAGTAACTATGTATTTGTGTTTAATTGCCATGTGCAATGAGCAGAATGTTTGATCTTAGTGTCGCGTTAATACTCAGTTTCTTATGGGAATATTCGTGTTACTTATAAAGTACACGTAATCATGAGAATTGCCTGAATGTATCAAGAAAAGGTGGTACAGTTTTCATGGTCTACAAACACTTCAGCTCTTGGACCCACTTATTGTCATATTCGATCGAATATGACAATAAGTGATGGTATCGTCATATTCGAATATGACGATACCATCACTTTTTCCAGTACAAAGCACTTGTAATTATATGTATACTTGGTTCTCACCCACATTTCGTATGGAAAAATCCCTTGAACAGTCGATATTCCACAGTTTTTCTTATTTCCCTTTAGACTCTTGGTTTGCAAACCAAGCTTAGTATAGTGCTGAATTAATTCCTAATAATTCTGAAATAATTTTAACATTCTACTGTGAGTGAATTCTGAATCTGTTTTGAAATGGAATCCTTAATGGCACAGACTAGAACTTAGTGCTGGTTTTCAGCATGACTGGCACTACTTCAGCATCGTGATCTTTTTCTAGGCATTTTTAGGAGTAAATCAGAAACTACTGGGTTTGCGTATCCGCTTTATTCCAGCTCTCACAGGACATATTAGGCACGGAATAGCGTTACTTCCTAATGAGAAGCCTTAATTCATCATCCAGCTCTCTTTAGGCATGACCAGCGTTAATATATGTGTAAAACTTGGGCACTGTGGTAGTAAGTAATTCCATATTAGTTTGTTTATTAGATGTATCACACAGCGAAACAGTATTATTTACTGGATGACGTTTCGAACACAACTTATTGTTCATAATCATATCAATTTCAAAGTCGTGTGACCAAAATTGATATGATTATGAACAATAAGTTGTGTTCGAAACGTCATCCAGTAAATAATACTGTTTCGCTGTGTGATACATCTAATAAACAAACTAATATGGAATGACCAGCGTTATTTCAGAACGTAATGGCTGGATAAAATCTTCATTTACCATAAAACGGAATTATTGAAGAATAGTTTAGAATAAGTTTAGAAGTGTTGTAGGCTTAAGGATGCTTAAACATGGCTAGGTTAATTACGAAAAGTTAAGCTTTTAGTATGCCCATGAAGAGCTATGAGATTTGTTTGGTAAGAGCATTATTTTTGCTAGTCGAGTGGTCACCTGGTGTTTTATTTCTGCTATAGCAGAGTTTCGGAAGTTTTAAGGCGTTTTTATATCTATCCAATAAACTAATGGAGCTCGAGAGATAAATTCTGAACGCAACATATCAATTGCTTCAATTTAGGTTAATACTTGGCTGAATGCAATCCGTTTTGTAATGGACACATTTTTATGCAGATATCTTCACGCTTGTAAATTAAGAGTCGGTATCTAAACATAGTTTCGGGCTGAATTTTAACACAAATTTATTAGGGTATATGAGATTATGAACAAATTTACAATTTTGTGATTAAAAACTTGTAGTATATCTATATAGCACTGATAGTATAGAATTTAGGCAATCATTGTTTCTGTGTCACTTAGCCCTAATGAAAATTGCAAAAGTTACTCACCCAGTAAGTTTTAAGTGAAACGACAAATGTGACGAGGAGTATAATAATAATAAGTTACATCGAAGATGGAAACGAAAAATATGGCAGTTTTGCAGTAGGGTTTAAGTAAAGTGGAATACAAAGTTTGGACCTGTCATTTGTTTACGATTATTGATGAGTGAGAATTTGAAAATGCATATATCTTCGATGATAATAAGAAGCGTAATTTAACAAATATTATTTGCAAATGCAGGGAGTACTGTTTTCCTAACAAAATGTCCATTATTCGAGACATTATACTTCTCAAAGCTATTTTACGTTTATCTGTAATTAGTTGTAATTAATTAATCATCCACCTGAGCAGCAAATCTTCTCTATTATGTGTATCTGTGTTGATTAGATGTTGTATTTCACCGTATCACCAATATATTAGCAAAGAGTGCTGATAAAGTTCGGGAAACCATTATCTAGTTTTCTGAATAATAATGAACTAAGTGTAAAGGATAGGTTATACTCATCACTGTAGGGAAATTACCGAATAGCTACATGTTTGATTAAATATGAGCTTAATTTTGAAAAATTTGGCGTACATTCAAAGTCATAGAAGGATTGGGCCTAGTCCAAAATATTTATAACCAAGAAGATTTTATTTTCCCTTCGTATATAAAACGCTATTGGCAAAGAAGGGTTACAGTGACTAGCTAGTCGCTGATACATGATAATTTAAAAGTGGTTCACTGTTAACTAGATCATTCTTCCCTCTCTGATTAAAAAACTGTCTTGAAGTTTCTTGAAGACGAAGTTTGCAGTCTATGCCTGCATTTCAGGGCGATATTTTCATCCTGACTGGTCCTTGTGAAGTGTTTATATTTCTTATGTTTAGCTATCTTGCGTATCTTCTTAAGCTAATCTCCTAAAGAGAAATTCTTTGTCTGTCTCATGTTTTTGCCTTTTTTGTTGAATTCAGTCATCCTGAGGACGTAAATTGTGAGTGTATCTACTGACAAATATGTCCCATCGTAACTACGTGCGTGAGGAGCAATATGTTGGACCGTATAGGCTTGAGAAAACTTTGGGAAAGGGTCAGACAGGTTAGTATATTGAAGCACTACTTTGTGGATTTTAGTCATTTTTATGCGTTCCTTGGAATATGTTTATCAATTTTAAGCCCTCTTATTCAATCCTATTTGAAATAGGGGTTACTAATTCGAGATCATCTTACGTTTACCTCAGAAATAAAACGGAAGTATGCATTTTTGTATGTTCTATCGATTCACACTACTTTACGTGTTAGAGAACTGAAGTTTGGGTGAACGTGAAGTACTGTAATCGAAATCGCGTTTGTCAGACGACATTGTCAGACACAAATTTAAGTTTTCTCAAACTGTTCATGTGATTCTTAAGACCCCTATTTGAGTAGATTTGTACTGAATGATAAATTTTCCTTTTTTGATAACCTTGACTTATTGAATATTCTTCTGGATTTGAAATATAACAAGGTACCTGGTTTGTATAAGTGTTTATGACTTTGGAAGCATTATTTTCTGATCTTCAGCGTACCAAACTGTTTAAAAATTACTTTACTAGTTAAAATAACATGCTCTCTACAACAGGACACTTATTGTATGGGTTATGATTGTAATAATTAGGTGTTAGAAATTTAGTATAAAATATTCCCAGCCTATGACCTAATGACCGAAGATCGAGTGTCCGAGTTAGAGTTTCAGTGTAGTCTGACATCAAGTTTATTTTAAAGTCTTGAGTTCTTTTGGTTTTCTGTCCTTCAAGTGATCAGTATTATACCCAACATTACTTCTGTCTCTGTCTGGATTCAACATAGAACTTGGCACCGAAGTGCAGTAGTTTCAGTTACCACGTTCAAAATAGCACACAAAGGTAGACAAGAAGATGAGTGAAGAGAATCAATAGAGTTTGACGAGTATAAGAACGAAACAGAATGGGTAATCATAGAAAGGAATATGAAAGATTACAGAGACTGAATACATCTGCGCCACTGACAACGATTTTGAGCCATGTCACCTATTGTCTCCAGCCTTTGATTCCTAGAGTTCCAAGGGCCCCAACCCGGAAGTCTGCATCTCCCTACCTGACTCAGTTTAACTGTCAAGGATTTCATGGATTGATGCCATGTTTTTGTTTGACCACCACTTACTCTTTTCCAACCTTCACCTATATCAGCTAGTAATGCCCGTTGGGGGAGGCGATGATTAGGCATGCACAGCACGTGATCTAGCCAACTCAATCTATGTAACTTTATAGCCTCGTCGATGATTTTCCCTCTTTACCCAACATTTTACGCCTAACGTCAACATTACTTACCTTATTAAACCACCTAACGTGAGACAGAGATCGCAGACATCTATGATCGAAAGCAGTCAACCTTTTCATGTCCTCAACTCGTATTGGCCATGTTTCAGAGCCATAGAGAAGGATGGAGCGAGCTGCTGATCAGTACACACGTCCCTTGGTTGATAGGCGGATGTCACATCTACGCCAGAGATGGTGTAAGTCAGCGAAAGCAGCTCGAGCTTTTTGGATCCGTGCTGATATTTCGTCGCCAATCAGTCCGTTGGTGCTGATACAACTTCCCAAATAGGTGAAGTGGTCAACATGTTTCATCACTTCACTCCCTATCACTAATCTAGGAGTTGATATTAGTGGTAATTACACGTTTCGATTAGGTCAATAAACCATAACAGTTTTACGGGTTCTTAGCTGTTTGGATTACAGGGTGTTAACTCATCCGTTTATCGAAGTTTTTGATGTTCGTGCTACCCAAAATTGCCTAGTTAACTGCTGTGAGTTCCAAAATTATACGAAATCTAGAGTTTAGGTTTTTTATCAGATATGAAATGTGAAATACTAAGAGATTGCACATATACAATAATATATATATATATATATATATATATACTTTGTCTTTTGAAAACACTGCAACCTTGAGGCTGAAGTTATCAACCAACAAATTAAGGTACCTGGTCTCGGCACATTTTCGACATAATTTTTATAACACTACCTATGCGTGAGGACTTTTGATTTTTTCCGTTAACCAACCATATACTATAGTCGATATATATGTGGTTTTCGAAAGTCAACAAACCAACTGGGTGACAAAGTGCTCGTTAAATGTTTGACAACAACCAGTTGAGCAACTGACCTAGTTCTTCCTATTCCTTGAACGATTCGTCATAAAGTTCAAAGAAGTATTTTCCACTTGTCTTGTAATGATTTTACTGGGGTATTTGTAAACATAAGATGAAATTAACTCATGTATTGCTAGACAGAAATGTACGGGAGAAAAGCAATTAAGGATTTAGTAGATCTGGATGCTCACAAACAGTCAATGTATCTACTCCACTGAAACACATTTTGAGCCATACACAAGCGGTCTTCATCCATTTCTTCTTACCATACTGAGGATCTCAGCCTGATGGTTCACATCCTCTATGTAGTACGAATCAACATTCAGTGATTTCATTAATTTGTGGCATGTTTTCAACCAGCTCAATCCTACACCGGCCAAAATTTTTTGCTGAGGAAGGCAATCGCTTAGCATGTGTAACATATATTCTGGCTATTTCAATCGATATAAACTCACTCCCTCATCGATTGACTTTTCTTCCTTATATAACATTACACCTAACCTCTATACGTTGTAGGGACCTGGCATACCACCAAAAGTATTTTGATCAGACTTCAGACTTTTGTCAACAGCTACCTTCGTTCCATACTGAAGATCGGATAATCAGAAAAGATTAGCAATAGGGAACCCTGACAGTACAACGAACCAACCGAGAGCCTGTTATCAAACAAATTTGTTCTGAAAAATGGAGATGTAACGGAAAAATACTGAGGAAACCATTGAGTGACACCACGCAGTGTACAGTCTGTCGACTGGAATCTGAGTGGGAAACGACTAGTTGGGTGTCTGAGGGTGACATGTTTAAATCACGTGAGGAGTAAATGATGGCCTATTGGCGTTTGTGGAGTCAGCTAAAGACGAGTGCAGAGAAGAGGATGAAATGGGAATGTGGTGTTGAGGCTTTATATTCCACTTCGAACCTAAGGGAATAATAATATTATTAAACAATCTAATATGTGGGACAAAATGCAGACACTTATGGTTAAGGAAACCTATGGTCATAATATTTTCCACCTTTAAGGTCCATGTCTCAGCTTTAATGAAGGAGGGAACTGATAGGCGGTAAAAAACATCCTATGATGGATAGGCGGATATCATTCCTTCACCAAAAAAAAACTAAATTTAGTGAATGCCACTCTAGCCTTTTGTGTCCGTTATGTGATTTCATCATCAATCAGCACATCAGGGTTGATGCAACTTCCAAAATAAGTGAAGTGGTCAACACGCTCTTCCACTTCACTCCCTACCTTTTAACTGGAACTCAGTGTGGACCAGTCCTGCAGCATCATCTCACATTTGACTGAAGCGAATTGTGTGTCGAACATTGAAAGATTTTTGTTCCGGGTGTTCAGAAGACTTCAGATTTTGTCAGCCGTTTCACATAAAATTATTTCTTCAAATAAATCAATAAGCAAATGTCCTCTTGATAGTATTTTAATTAGATGAGGAGAGCGGAGTAACATAAAAAGGTAAAATTTCATGCAGCATGACTGTTTAATTATCATAATCACAGTTTATTTGGGTAAAGATGATTCATAAATTTTAGGAAGTGTAAGTCAGGTAAAACAGTCCTTTGTCTTTGGGATACATGTACTCACGAAGTAGTAGTAATGGTTATAACCCAGAGTTTCGGTGTTCACTTATTCTTTTGTATTCTGTGAAATAAACAAAGCGAGTTGTAAAACTTTAGTCTCTGTTTAACGGTACAAATAGCATCCGTTGTATGCCTAGTCAGAAACATTTTGTTTTTTAGATAGTTAGTCAGGAAGTCGCCATGCCTAAGTCTAATTCATATATTAACGTGTAATTCACTGGACTGAATTTCCTTTTTAATTATAACTGAAGTCTGTTTCTATCATCCTAGTCACTGTCGTTTGATGACTTCTTTTTAATTTTTTCCACTACCCATATATGTAGGAATAAGAATCAATCATTCGTTTAAAAAATGAAATGGATGTAGGCTGTATTTAGTAGTAGACAGATTTTGTCATTAAGGTAGCATCTTACGATATTGTAATTGATAAACATCCTTAATTCTATTAGAAGTTACAGATGTGATGATAAAGCTGTTGACTCAACTGTAACAGAAGAATATGGAACTTGAAGAGTATTTTATCGAAAGAATGACAGTCCTCATAGGTTAGTGATTGTTGAAGTCTCGATGTAGGTTCTTCTGACAGCTTATTCTGTTTATGATTGCGTAACCAGGTCCTTATGTAGTGCACATAAGAGTTCTCTATCTTATTGCTGTAAAACTGTGATTTGAGGTTTCAGACATTTGGTCAGACGTTTTTCATGGCATCACATGTACGTGACGAAAGTACCGCGTGAGTAAAACTAAAGTTGCTTCTTTGAAGTTTGACCACAGATTGGCATCAGTTAGAGAACCACTGGAAACCAGGGAGTACTGGACAGCTGTTTCGTCCTAGTTTGGGACTAATCTGTGGTACGCACCAACTGGGGTTCGAACCTAGGACCTTCAGGTTACAAAGCAAGCTTGTAGACCATTCAGTCACAGGGACCTGACTCAATGATCAGCCTATGAATTCTAAGTTCTATCAATTTAGGATGATTCCAATGCACTAGATATCACAGGCAAATCAGTAGATGAAGTTGTTGATCACTTGTTTGAAGTGGATTGGATACACTTTACGCATGTCTTTATTTATTTTTAGTCCTCCTAGCCAGGTTTAGAAGTGCATCGGCTGGGGGGTCGAATCCCAGACTATTTGAGCCGTGGTTGGAGAGTATTCTATCTCCGAACCACGGATGCATATCTACTTACTGCCTATGGCAACAAACAGCATTATGTTAAGTAAGATTCAGCTGAAAGAAGGCTAAATTTAGCATATAAGGATATGTCACCAGTTTATACTATTTCGAACCTAGGTAGGGTCTGATACAAAAATAGGAGTTATGATAGCCGTCCTGTATATTGTATGTCTTTAAAATGCTTTTAGTAGTACTGCCGGATCCCTATTTTTCCTTTTCAACCTAAGTGTAACTTTGCATATCAGCAACTACTATACTTATTTTTTGTAGTTTATCAGTTTATATAAGTTTAAATAATGCTCTTCTGTTTTTGTTTTCTTTTTAATGCCTACGATGATATGTAAATCTGGACTGTGACAACTTGATTGTCAGTTTTTATTTTTGTCGCTGTTCATGTACATAGAAAACTCACTGTCACTTTAGACTAACACGATTAATACATACACATTAGCTTAGCAGTTGGTAATATATTTCAGAGAATTCTTTTACAAAAACATACTAAACTTGAATTATTTTTCCTGTTTCACTGTATATTTTTTTGTAATTTACTTCCTCGAAGTTGTTAATTTTGTTTGTGACTATACAGTTGTACGTTCATCACATATCCTTACCACTCGATTAATCTCTCTCTCACACACCTTGTTCAACAATTTTGTTAAACAACTAGATGCAAAAATTATTGATGTCATCTCTCTCTCTCTGTTGGTGAACTAGGTCATGTCATCACTAGATTTATAATGATCAACATTTAAGAGCCTTTTTATCACATGAATCATTGAATGTATTTCATTTCTAGCCACACTGGCTTTACGCCTTCCTTTCTTCACCTTCCCTCTTCAAAGTGTATATTATTTCAGGATTTCATCATGAGCTGACATTAGTTAAAGAACCATCGGAAAACCTGGGAGTACTGGACAGCTGTTTCGTCCTGGTTTGGGACTCTTCATCAGTAGGAAACCACCGGGATTCGAACCCAGGACCTTCCGGTTACAAGGCAAGCTCGTATACCATTAAGCCACTGTGACCCGATCCAATGATCCTTGAATTCTAACTTCTGCCAATTCACGACATAGAGCAACCGCTAGCCAATGTCTTCTGTGGCGAGTATTTGTCCTCACACCCGACCGGCTGCACCCTACTGGTCACGACTTCCCACTGGAACCCAGGTAACTACCTACCTGAATATTATTGGTTGGAGGATTTCATCATGAGCTGACATTAGTTAGAGAACCATTGGAAAACCTGGACGGCTGTTTCGTCCTAGTTTGGCGCTCTTTGGAAGTACGCGCCCACCGGGGTTCGAATAATGTAATATGGTGGTTGTTTTATTTCTGTAAAAGAAATAAATTCTCAATTTATCACTTGTATAAATAACAAAGGCGTAGAGGGAAAAAAATCAATATTTTCAGGTCTTTAAATTTGACCCAAAGGGTATTTTTTGTATCACTAGTTTCCTTTTGTATATTAATCCCAACAACACATCGATGTATGTGTGTATGTTCACCTACGAGAGACGAGAAATGAAAACATGACCTTCCTTATTCCAAGTAAAAGTAAACTCTATTAAAGAGGTTAGGAAATTTATTTATTTGAAATAATTAAAGTGACTCATTCACTAATTCATGACGCTCTCACAGAAGTAAATTTATCCGAATTTAATTTGTCATTATTATTATTGTCACTATAATATGAGCTCAGTGTGCTTACACGAACGTGTAGTTATCAAAAGTGAACTAAATGGAACAGAGGAGTTGTACAAGAGCATAACTGACCAACTTTTATAACTTCAGTGAACCATGAAACTCCTCACGATTCTAGATAAATAATTAACAGTTTTATTAGTTTGTTGAGATCACTGGGACTAAAAGTATCACTGTGAGTGTCTGTTACACTTCAACAGTGAGATTTCAATAGCCCAGCAAGAATTAAATTATGTTACAACTCACGACTTTCAAATGCAATACATTATACCTCGTTATAACTATGCATTTTGTCGTATGTAGTTATCTGTAAATAGATGGTTCTTATTTGTGACTGGTTTTGTGTGTAACACTGCTGTTTACTGTAATGACTCTAGCTCCACTGCTTAATATGATATTGACTTTATGGTGATGATTACATTTTCATATGCATTTAATTTCATTTGAAATCGATATATGATATTCTATTTTATATTTTCTTTTTTTTTTAATACCACTTATCAGGGCTTGTTAAAATGGGAGTACATTGTGTAACAGGTAAAAAGGTGGCTGTGAAGATAGTCAATCGAGAGAAGTTAAGCGATAGTGTACTTCAAAAGGTAAGTTCTCAGTTGCAAAACTGTTTTTCTTATCCATTGTTTTTCCCCCTAACTATTAGGTTGAAAGAGAAATTGCTATTATGAAATTGATTGAACATCCTCATGTACTGGGATTATATGATGTATACGAAAATCGACGACATTTGTAAGCTGTTATGTGTGTTAATGCTGTAATAATAAAAAAAAATAATTCAATAGATATCTTATCCTGGAACATGTTTCTGGTGGAGAACTATTCGACTATCTTGTTCGTAAGGGTCGTTTAGCACCAAAAGAAGCTAGAAGATTTTTCAAACAAATTATTTCTGCCCTAGATTTCTGTCATAGCCATTGTATTTGGTAAGTATTTCAATTTATTCAGGTCATTTATTAATGAATTTCAAACATGTGGGGTTCACTTGATGAATTTTGTTAAAGTCAGAGGGAATGAACTGGCAGTATTTAACTATGTAATTTTATTTCACAGACTTCCATCAACCAGAGACTGTCTCAAATCACAGTGTTTATAGAATAATGTAAATAGCAGGCTTTATATATATATATATATATATATATATATATATATATATATATATATATATATATATATATATACATATGATTACAGCTTGATTCCACACCGTATTTTTGGTACAAGTATGGAATTTTCAGCATGTGATATCGGTAGCCCAAATTTCGCAGGCCAACCATTGATATCAGGTGTGTGTCGGCAGGGGATCGAACCCCCGGACCATGTGCATGGTCGGTGAGAGTCCTAACCATTGATAATTCAGAAAATAGGTTACGGAATCCAATGTACAAAGTATTGAGAAGCGTAGAAGGAGGGATAGGGAAGACGAGAAAAAGCAATAGGTTTGACTTGCTTATGTGTTTCTGTTTGACGTAGTCTATGAATATACCGGCCAGGAGAGATTGTAGAGAAGAACTCATCATGACTTATTAGTTTGTTGGTAAAGCTGAAGCAAAGCAGCAGTAGCTGTCTCATCTCTATTTCAAGTAGTGTTAGTGTATCTGTCTACTAACAAATTAAGCCAATCGAGAAGAGAGTGAGATCAATCCCTCACTTCCTTGATAATTGGATTTTAATTCTGACACTGCGTTAACTGCATAATTCCTCATTTCACATGGTTTCAGCCTTACACAATGCAGTATCTCGGGTTATTATGTAATCTCATATTTTTAAAAATTTTATTCTTCAACGTTCCAAGTGGACTGTAGAGTTTCAAGATAGAACTTTGAAGTTTCGGTATCAGTGGTTTTGTTTTTACGGGGTTGGGTTTCTAGCCTCACGCTTACCTTCCCTCTTTACCAGCCTCACTACCGGCCTACTGATGTTTAGGAGTGCTTCAGCCGGGGATCGAAACCCTGACCACCTGCAATGTTGGCGGGTATTTTACCGCTGAAACGCCAACGCACATGCGACTCATAAGCTAGCAATATTTACTAGTTTTTCCTGTCTTCCCTGCTTTTCCTTTACACCTCTTGAACTTCCAATTTTGTAGTACCCATGAAATGATGACTTGGCTTACTTAATCGGGATTCCCCGATTTACAACATTTTCTGTATTATCGTTTTAATATTTTAAGCATGCTATTTACATTCTTTTGTAAGCACTGTGATTTGAGATAGTTTCCAGTTGATGGGATTCTATGAATTAAAAATGCCTGTATATACATTATCGTTTGTTGTATAATAAAATATGTTTTCAGGCATTTGTTTTTTGAAATTAATTGTCCATTCATAAATTCTTCAGTTCCATTTAGTCGTGAATGGATGGATGTTTATCTAATTTTTAATAAAAACGTGTCAAAACATTTATCTGCATTGTTGATACTGTTTGTAACTTTAAATGTTCTTATTCCTCTAAAATCCTAGTATCGTGTTTTGAAGCAGACGATATTGTACACTATGATTGCATTAAAGACCAGGTTTTATGTAAAAGGCCTTGAAGGTGCTTAAATTTGGCATGAATATCAGTACAAGATTAATGTCGTATGCACTTTTATTTACTTAAAACATATTATCAATTTTAATCAAATTATCAATCAGTAACTAGGAGCAAGTTTAGATTTTAAATTTCTCGAGTAGTGCTAGATTGGTTTACAGTTAAGGTAAATCATGTTTTTCCGGCTTGTGATAGTTAACCTAACTGGAGAGTATCCTCTGTTTTTTGCATAACATTGCATTTTCTTTCTGTAAACCTGTTTCTGCTGACAGGCGTGGGGTCATGTGCGTTTGAGCTCTCTTTCACATAACTTTCACCATGTCGGGTGTGAATTGGATGCCCATCACTTCTCATTGTTCGATGGTAGCCCTATATTACGAGTTGGTGGGAGTTAGGATCCACTGGTCGTTGGATTCCACCACGATGGTTAAGTGGTTAGCAGGTTGCCATAGGTTGCCTGAAGGTCCTTATTTTCATCCCTAAAGGGTTCGTTGCTGCTTACTGAAGAAGAGTCCCAAACTGGAACGTAACATGTGTCCAGCGCGCTGTAGGTGTCAATGGTTCACCAGCTGTGAATGACGAAATCTACACCAATACATACCGGTTTAATGATTTTATCTTTTATTCTCATTATTTACCTAAAGTTCTGCTGAAATTTGTACTTATCGTCGAATCGTAAATGTCTAAGATGATTGTAATAGCTGGTCAATGTACTATTTATCAGGTCTTCACTTCCGACCAGGTAAAAGCTGAATGTTGAATTTCGGGTTTTATATATGCAGACTGATACATCTAGGATGCACACATCTCGACAGTCAGCTAATCAATATTTATGTCTCTTGTAATTTAATTGAAAATACGGCCTCTTAATAAAACTGATGCATAACCTCATTTGTATAATGAACACTTACTTTGTAAATAGATTCAAGTTTCAGTCTTTATTCTCTGTTGTTTATTGTTATCTAATGTTATTTAAAAATCTGAAATTGAATCATATTTTTACTTTTAATAATAATTGCGTTATCTATATTATTAGCGTGTAGTATTTTATATTCGAAAATACTGATATTGAAATACATCCTACTCAATAAAGCATCACGTTATGATAAGTAATAGATATTTTACGGGAACAGCAAATAAAGTTACTATTATTGTATTCTTACTTTTTTGTGGAATCAAACTTGTTTTAGGTTATCTACTAGGACTCTTAGATGGATGGCTGAACCATACCATCTACTTCAATGTTACATAAGTAGTTTTAAAAGTTTTATTTTTTGAGCTACAAAAGTTACTAAAGTAGAACTAATTGAATTCATCGATTTCAATAGGTATCGTCAACTTTTCTCCCTAAAGATATTATTTTACGCACATACATAATACGAACTGAGACATGAAACGAAGCTTAATCAAAGAGTGTGAATAAATTATTATTTATTAATATTATTGTTATTCACTTGGATTCCCAGTGGAACATGTTGCTTCAACACCACATCTCCACTTTGTTCTATTTTCCGATGTCCTCTTTAGCTGCTCTCACGATTGCCCATCGATTGTCGCCTCCGTTTCATCCCAGACGCTTAAATTCGTCGTTTCTTATTCGGGTTCCGCTCGAGAGCCATCGGTCTCCTCAACGTGTGCCTTCTGCATACTTTCTGAGCAACAGATTCTTGGGTTGTTCGCTGCTTTGAGTTTCTTGCTGCTAATTCTTTTTGACCATCTGATCTTCAGTATGGAGTGAAGGCATATGCTGATGAAACTCTTCAGTTGACTACTAGAAACGCTTTTCGTGGCTCTCCAAGTTTCTGAACCTTGTAGAAGAACTTACTTAAAATCGGTGCTGAAAATCCGAATTTTGTTCTTTTTACTGAGTGAAGCAGAAGATTCCCAAACTGGTTTTAGGTTGATGAAGGCGTGTCTTGCCTTTCCGATCCTTATTTGTTCCGTCGCTTTTAGTTGGAACAATGCTTCCTAGATAAGTGAAGGAACTAACCTCTTTCAGATTTCTCCCGTTGATAGTGATTGGTTCTAGTTGTTGTTCATGGTTGGTTATCGTCATCACCTCCATCTTCTCTGTGTTCACCTGAAGTCCTGTGCTTGCTGCTGCTTCTTCTGCCGTTTTATTGGTTTTTGTTTTGTTTTTGATTACAGCTTGATTCCACACTGTATTTTTGGTACAAGTATGGAATTTTCAGCGTGGATATCGGTAGCCCAAATTTTGCAGACCGACCATAGATATCGGGTGTGCGTCGGTGTGGGCTCGAACCCCGGACCATATGCATGGTAGGCGAGAGTCTTAACCACTGTGCCACCGACGCACACGGGTTGTCTCGGCAACACTGTAAGTCTTCAAGTTTGTGTGACATGAGACATAAATCGTCCACAAAGTCCAAATCTTCTAGAGTCTTCTTGTCGTTTCAACGTATTGCTGTGTTTTCGCTCTTCTCAGTCTTCTGCAACCACAATTAGGAATATCATCGGTGATAGTAGTCAGCCATGGCTTACTCCTATCTTCTCCTCAAGACTTCTCTGAGTTTTCTATTGCGAATCACGTGACATTGCATTGTGTGAACACATTAAAAAGGTTGAATTGAACGAAGATCTAATAGGAATTAAATAAATCGCCAACTTTAAAACTGAACAACAGCTAATCAACAGCGGGTTAAGGTTGATAATAGTGCATAGTGTATGAATCAAAAGCGTTTTCTGAACTTAATGTAACAGTTAAAGTATGAGTTATGATGATGAAGGTAATAATGATAGTTATAGTAATGGTCTAGGAAGATAAGCAGTGAAAACTCAAAAGAATAAAAAGATTAATTGACTACATTTTAAGTGGAACAAAAAGTAATCGTCTATCAAAGGTAGTAACAGTGTGAAACCGAATGAACATGAAACTGCGAGTAAGATTATAATGGTTGGTAGTAGTGATAGGGATGATAATGACAATAATAGTGTAACAACAGAAGACAAGGGCCAGGCGACAGATCGTTTATTAAGGAAATCAACACATATTTATAGATTTTCATGTACATTATAATAGATTATTGTTAGAAGAAAAACACGGTCTTGTGACTGGTTTTTTCTCACAGAAAGTTAACCTTGCATCTCTTTGTGGTTGTTTCTTGAACGTCAGATCATCTATATGTTAACTGTGTCCGCCTACGCAAAGTCTTTGTTCTCACTTTTCTCACGACCAATATTGGGGACATAAACATTGACGTAAATTACTGTCCACCAATTTTGGCTAGCAGCCAGCTCTCACCACAATAGTAGTAACATGTTTAATTGGTAGCCAAGCCAAGTCCAAGAGATTAAAAGTACTGAAGAGATAAATATACAGGGAGAAAAGAGGTGGGAAAGATGTGCAAACACTATAATAAATATATTCACACTGCAATAGGAGATGTATTATCATAGACTCAAAGGGATACTGCCTATTTTTGCACACAGAGAGTCAGTTTTCGAAGTGGAGTCTCAAAAGCTTCCACACTTATAGACATTTTCTTGTTTTGTTGTTCTCTAATGAACGAGAGAGAGCCTTAGTGGTGTCGTTGTCATATCAGCAGTCCATTAATTGCTTCATGATGAAACTCCTTGGCATTTCCCCTTCAGTTTGCCTTAAGCGTTCCGACAAGTGCTCAATCATGCAAGCATAGAAAAACACCTCTCCGTGCTACTTGTATATCTTCTTTTTCAAGTGCATTTCAATCAAAAAGCTCACCATTAGGCATAAAAAACTGTTAAAAATATTATTACATTAAATTTGAAATGATAATATGCAGTTTGATGTATCAAGGATTGCTGCCATATCTTTATATGATTGTTGTCTCGTCCACTGTTATAGTCTGTATTATGTAGACATAAATGTATTTTTTCAATCCATAGGAGTAAATAAAAACATAAATGAGTGTATGTGCGGTTGGATTCAGCTATACATACGTGCTGAAGGTGTAGACTTTTGACTTAGTTAATTTATTATATTCACTCATGAATTTACTTCCAAATTATATTTGAATTTACAACTGTAGTCGACAGCATATCCAAATGACTATATATTGTAGTCTAATTAACTCAATATATTTTGAATGTATTGTTTAATTTGACTTTATAAATGAAACTTTTGATAGAAATAGGTTATTACTAGATAGATACATCTTTCTTCATAATGTTTTATTGAATTATGTCAGTCATACTTTTCGTTTCACTGTGTTGAATTCAGTAATTTTTCAACTTCCTCTTATTATGTTTACTAGTTCCCACAAATTAATAAACTGGAATTATTTAATTGGGGAATGCAGGTACATCCAGATTACGAGTCCTAGATAGGACGAAATGCACATCCTGGATTCCATTGCTAATCACTATCCACCAATTAAACTGGAGTTATTGTTAATAAAAGCACTGAAGTGAATTATCTGCTTCTATTACTATCTTTAAACTACTTCATTCAGTGGTTATCTGTCCATATTTAGTCTGAGTTACGCAGAGTGGTGTTAGCTGCCTGGCTGGAATACTCGAGATGTTTACAACCAATGGTTGGAGACTGTTGGTGACATGGCTCAACACCATCTTCACATTTATGCAGATTTATATATTTGCCTTTCCTGCACTCCTAGATCCATCGAATTCTCATTATTCTCCGCTTAATTAATCTTTCCCCTGTATATATTTCTGTTTATAATAGTTTATTCTCATTTCTTTATTTCATCCCCTATGTATGCTTTTATGAAATGTGGCAACTTGAACTGTTGCACTTTAGTGCAAAGTTCAGTTCAGTCCGTATCTAAGTATATATGTAATCATTTATATTATTATTATTATTACTGTTTTTATAGCCATAGAGATTTGAAGCCAGAGAATCTATTACTGGATGATCAACTGAATATACGTGTAGCTGATTTCGGTATGGCGTCATTACAACCTGAAGGTTCATTATTAGAAACCAGTTGTGGGTAAGTGTTTTTTTTCTACTTTTCCTTTTTGTTTGCTTTATTGATTGATCTGTAGTTTTTTCTTCCGGGTGAAAACATATTTTAAGGTATTCCATCGCCTCTCCTAACATTGAGAATAACGGCTATTTAGTGTATTTAAAAAAAAAATCAAACTAGATGAATCTGCTGAAAATGATCACATCACTTCTATTCCATGCAGTTGAGTTGATTAAATGAATGTGTCAGAAGTATTTTTATATTACAAAAAAGTGAAGAATAGGAAGAGACGAAGAGAAATTATGAAACTTGAAATAATGTTTTCAGTGTCTCATTTGACAGTTGTTTAATTAATACAAATATACAAAAGATGCCATTTTTTATTTCACCACTCCAACCAACCAACCAACCAGCCGACCGTCCATCCATCCATCCATCTATCGATCCATTTGTCAACATCATCTTTCTTGTAGTAATCTACAAATATTTGCTTCCTCTTTTTTATTACTTGACATTTTGATCTAATTACTTGACAAACGATTGATTGATTCAGTTATATGAAATCAGTGAATAAATTGTGTTCGTCTATTTGTTTGCCTATAACTTTATCATAGTATGTCATCAATTGAAAGCGGCATTGAGACAAGTACTATTATTACTTATTTATAATTTTTCCTTAAACGTTCAAGTCCATTTCATCCTCTTCTCTGCAGTCGTCTTTAGCTGACCGCATGATTACTCATAGGTTCTCATCTCCGCCTTACATGATCTCTTCCATGTTACTCTCAGGCAACCAACTCGTTGACTTCCACTCAGATCCCCCTGGAGGAGGACCTGTACAGTCTCCTCAGTATGTTTCCGATACATCTCCACTTTCCTGGAAAAATTTGTTTGATAACAAGCTCTTGATTGGTTCGTTGTAATGTGAGAGTTGTTTGCTGCTAATCCTTTTTGGCCATCGCATCTGAAACATGTTAAGAATGCTTTTGGTGACATGCTATGAAGAAGATCTGATCCATAAAGAAGAACTGACTTGATATCACTGTTGAAATTCGAATCTTGTTCTTTACGTTGAGTGGAGAAGATTTCCAAACAGAATTCAAGTTACTAAAGGTCTTTTTTCGCCTCTGACATCCTCATTCATGCGTTTTTTCTTAGTTGAGACCATTCTACCTAGGTAGGCAAAAGAAGTAACTTTCTTCACTTTTCTTCCGATGATGGTGACTGGTGCTTGTTGTTATCGTTAGTTAGGTGTCTTTATCACCTCTACCTTCTCCATGCTCTCTTAAAATCCTTTCTGTGTTGTTTCTCCTGCTAAATGGCTGGTTATCGCTTACAGATCTTCGAGTTTGTGTGACATCAGACATAATGCGTCTGCGAAGTCCAAATCTCTTAGAGTCTTCTTCTTGCTCCTCACGGTTTGTTGAATGATCCACTCCACCAAAATCAGGAATGACATCATCAGTGATAGCTGACAGCTGAGACAACTACTGCTAATCTTACATATTCATAGTCTGCTTCAGCTTTCATAACACAAAGTGGCACTCAGTTGTAAAGTCATAGATTAGAATTTATCATTTTAAAAAATCAAGAATTAGTGAAGTCAAGCGATTCACTTTGCAGCTGTTGTTATGAACAGTCCAACATTTTCATCGCGTTTTATGGTTTTTTTCATCCTAACAATTTATTTCTTTTTGAATATCTTTTGTTTTACTCTTTCTACGGTGCCACTCTTTTAATAACGTAAAAGTAGACAAATAGAGACCAAAGACATCACCTTAGTTTGTTATGCTTTATTTTCATTCAAGTATAGAGAGTTCAGTGTATCGTAACAGTATGTTAATAATTGTGTAGTTAGGTATGTACAGAAAATTGTGTTTTGAAAGAGTGATTTGTTCGATGACTGCTCTACTGTTTGTCATAAAGCTATCAGCATATGAAAGATAACACTAACTAATTGGCGAAGTAGCTACAGTTTTTTACAGATTTTTCCAGTCGAGTATCTCATAACAATGCTTATTTGATATAATTTGAAAAGTTGTGGTTATCATTTACTTTTTCTGAAGTATAACCTCTCATTTTATGCAGTCTATTTTTATTAATAATCAGCGAGAATAATTTGCTAGATAGACATTGATATTTTTTCTCTCCTTTGCTTAATGTCTGTCGGGCATGGATAATCACACCTGAATATTTTGATGTGGTTATGTTCTCTAAGCTGGATGGTTAATTTGCGAAGCTTTCATCACCCTACTGGGTGACATCTTCAACGCATACTTCAATTTGAAGTGAGCTTTTAGATTTCTCCACGAGTTTACTAATCATCTCTCCTGGTGACCTTGGACGTGATTGGTTGTTTATGTGTGTTTTCACACCTTCTAGGTTACTTGTATTGGAACTGATTGTTTCTTTGGCTTGAACTTTGACCTTTTGTGTGTGAAGTTTCTTTCTTATCGGTTGATAAATTTTGTCTACCTCGATGTGTCTATTGATTGATGATTCACTGGAATGCATTCCAGCTCCATCCAGCTCAGAGAACACAACCACATCAAAATCATCCACCTGAGCTACAAATCTTCTCTATCATATCTACACCTGAATATTATTTACTCTTATTTTATTCTCAACTTTTTATCCTTACTTTTCTGTCATTTCGTTACTCACCACTCTCTCTCTCTCTCTCTCTCTCTCTCTATATATATATATATATATATATATATATATATATATATATATATATATATATATATGATGCGTCATCTGTTTTCTATATTTGTCGTTCACTAACCTTATTATAGCATTGTAAGTTTATCTGACTTCCATTCTAGAATTAAAGAGTTAGAATAAAGTCTAGCGGTTAGGATTCCTGGCTTTCACCTAGGCGGCGGGGATTCGACTCCCGGCACGGGAGCACTTTGTGTGTCGGTGGCATAGTGGTTAGGACGCTGGCCGACCATGAACATGGTCCGGGGTTCGATTCCCGACCGACTCACTCCTTTACCCCGCTAAGCCAGAAATAATGCTGGTAAAGAGGAAAGGTTGGGCATGAGGCTAGCAACCCCATCATGTAAAAATAAACACTGCTACAGAAACTTCAAGCCACTAGCTTGGAGCCCTATGTTCCACTGGGGAACGTGAAGGAAAAAAAAATAAAGTCAGCGGTTAAAGGAATTAATTAAGTGATTAATTCACATCAAATGTGAAGAGAAGAAAAACGAGAATCTAGCTGTCAGGTGGCCTATGTGTGTGTGTGTGAGCGGGGGAAAGATCTAATAACAGCGAAAAACGTCAATGAACGAAGGAAGAGATTAAACTTGTTTTACGATAAATGGTGTAATGCCTATGATTTTCATCGGTTAATTCCATACACTCACTCTTGAAACATATATATATATGCATAAATAATAGTAGTCTATTTTTAGAAATTAGGCGTTGTCGTTGAAAATCAATCAGAACTAAGTATTTTTGTTACAATTTTCCTGTTGTTGTGTTGTCTTCATTTTGTTAGTTTAAAAAAGAAAGTAGTATTACCTCTTCATGACACACAGCGTTGTAATGTGAAGCAGCGATACTGTTTAACTTGATAAATACTACCCTTCAATTAGATAACAGTGTTAGGTATAGTAATGTTACGCATATAATAATAAGATATTGAGAATAAATTTTTGATTTGCAGCTGTGAGGAAATCTCTGCAGGGATACAGAAAACTTATTTAACTTCCGTTAAATAGTTTAATTTGTGTAAAATTATTGAAGCGTATATCAAAGTTGTAGAGATGTGGTTCACTGGTCTTAACTTTCAGCCAATGGGAATACCAAGTAATAATTGCTCACTATCTACTTCAGTCTGAGCGACTAGTTAGTATTATCAGTAATCACATAATAAGTGTGGCGTATAGTCTGCTCATTAAAAGATCTCTTCTAATTAACTGAATTCTAACTAACTTTGTCAAAATAGGCTGATTATAGCTTATTTTGATGTTATATGATGTTAATGAGCAAATAGAAGCATTACAAGAATCATTTATGGGATAAAACACATTTGTCTAATCCCCTTGACGTAAAAGTAATCCTAGTTTTGAATGGGATCAGTTGATTGAAAGGCATCCTGAAATGGTAATAGGCCAAGATTTTATCCTGTTCTATGTCGAAGGAGAATAAGGGAACCAATTCTACATATAAGTGACTGTTTTCTTCCTCCCTAAATAAATAACCGATGGGTATTCACTATTAATGCAAAATAACTGCTTTGCAGAAGTAATTTATGCTTGTTTATTCTGAAAGTAGTTTGAAGGGAACAAAATAGTCTGAAAGATAATTGAAAGCATTTAGAAAACAAATATATATATGCATTACTGAATATAGATATAGATAAAAACAAAAAACAATCAGATGGATAAACAGTGAAGTACTCATAGTTTTTTTTTATTTATCAATAATGTCATAGTTACCTCACATCACTGATTTAGTAATGAAAACAATTGGAAACTGCCTACTAATATATTATAAGTATTTGTTTGACATTCTGACAAATAAATATTGATCATATATTTCAGTCAGACTTATGTGCATCAACTACTTGTTAGTTTGTATGTGGTGTTGACTGTCACTGATGCATTTTCTATAATTCCATACACTTATTTCTATTTATGAATTCGGATATAGCAAAGACAACAGTTTGTGCAGAATAAGACAGTACCATCATTTATCCCGTTGACTTCTCATCAACTGCTTACAGCCTAAAGAAAGAAATTATTAAGTTTATGTACAGAACAATTTTTAAACATACCTGTGAATATTGTTATATGATGTCAGTTGACAGGAGGTTCCGAGCTTAGGGAACAGTGCTCAGAAAACTACGCTTTTATGGGTTTTGCATAGGGAGTTCAAGTATAGACAAAATCTGTGTGTACATACAGTGGTAAGGGAGTTGTGTAATAAAGACGCGAGGGGTGCTCAAGATGATGACTCACTAATAAATTGTGCGCGGTGGCACAGTGGTTAGGACTCTCGCCGACCATGCACATGGTCCGAGGTTCGATCCCCTACCAACGCACACCTGATATCTATGGTCAGTCTGCGAAATTTGGACTACCGATATCCATGCTGAAAATTCCATACTTGTACCAGAAATACAGTGTGGAATCAAGCTATAATAAAAAATATATTGGCCTCACTTTAAATCATAGAAACAAGAGACAAGCAGAATTGTACTGTATCGAAGGGGGGTGAAGTTAAAGCCAAAGATTACATATTCAGGTGTGAGAGAGAGAGAGAGAAAGACAGTAAAGATATCCAGTTACCAGGGTAAGGAAGGACTGACAACTGCTTCTTTCTGAACACACAATTTGCGTTTCAGGCATCTGATAGAGATTGATTCGGAAAATTTTAGGAGGATTGATTTTTTTGTCTACTGATAATTTTAGAGGACTTTGCGATTCCCACTTCATGATCCGTTCGAAGGAGATGCCTGGTAACGGCACTATTGTAAACACTTGTTCCCTTGAGAGGTAGGCCTCTTGGTACATGTTCAGAAAATCAGAAGTGTGCCCTTTTTTCTATTCTCTCAACGTAATTGATCACGCAGATAAATGTAAATTTGTATACATGGTTATGACTAATGTGGGAAGGATATCTGTCGACTTTTGCTTGCACTAAAGATCATGTTGTCCGATAGACAAGAACCAATACTAGCCACGGGATAGGTTCTGACTATGATATACTCAATCATCTGTTGACTATTGCTGAAATATTTTTCACCTTTAAAATAGAGTTGAATGAAGACAGGCTTTTTTCCCACTGTGATTTGTTTGAAATTTGAGCCTTCGCATCTTCCATATTTGTTAGTGAGTCTCTGAGGGTAAGCGTTGTTTACCAACATCTTTTTGAGAATCATAAATTCTTCCTCTAATTTTCCTGTAGAGCATATTCTCCTCGCTCTATAGTACAGAATCTTGACTAGTGCTAGTTAATAGCTTTTTAGATAAAACTATTAAAATATAAGTATTGTCCATTCCAGGTAGGCTTTCGGTAAATTGACCTCTGGAAACTACCGTCTTTCAAGCGTTGCATGACAATATCATGGGAGCGAAACTTTCCATCATTTTCATATACCATAGCAAATTCAATATTTGTATGTGCGTCTTTGAATGACCCAAGTAGGTAGGAGATGTGACTTTCATTGTTGCACACTACAAATGTATCGTCAACATTGCAGATGAAATCTCAAGACTCATATTAAGTATTACAGTGAATAGAAAATATTTTTCAGAGGTTAGTTTATAGAGATATGTTTTGAAATTTGAATTCTGATTGATATCAGTTAGAGAACCGTTGAAAACCATGGAGTGCTGGACAGAAGTTTCGTCCTGGTTTGGGACTCATCAAATTGGTAGAAGTTAGAATTTAAGGACTGAATGGTCTGTGAGCTCTCCTTGTGACCGGAAGGACCTAGGGTTTGAACCCCATTGGGTGCCTACTTCCGATGAAACAGCTATCCAGTACACCTTAGTTTTCAATGGTTTTCTAACTCATATCAATTCGTGGTCAAACTTGAATGGAAGGGTAGAAAGAACTTTTAGATGAAGCAATTATTAGATTCTTTCACTCACTTGGTACTTTGTGAATAAATATTGTGTGCGAGGTCTAGTATACAGAACTAATTTACTGGGTTTTGTATGGAGAAAAATGTATAGACAATCGAATTCACTACTGGTAATATTTTTTCGAGGAAATGTTTATCTCCCATGATAAACAGTGACGTATTCTTTAAATTTCACTTCTGATTATTAAACTAAAAGTGTGACCTCCTTCTCGTTGAGAATTTCAATTAACTTTCACAGCCATGTTTATTTAATTCCCTTTTGGATATAATACTGTATCTAAGGTAATTTTTGAGTATGAAACAGTTATATTACGTGTGTTTTCATTAATCATTATTTAATTTCCATTCATAGAGACTTGATGGTCAGTAGAATATTTGATTTTGATTTAGGCTGTCATAGTATTCCTTTTGTACTACTCACTTTTTTCCCCTAATTCAATTCAGAGTTATATGATAGATAAATAAGAGTATGATATGGCTATTGTAGTTGTTTCTGCACAATATAGAGTCGGCTTAAGTCAGACAGTAAGTGTTTCTGTCTGAGGCTGAGAGTGTGGAAACCATTTTGATGTCACCTGAGCAATGATATTTTATTTCCCCCCTCACCACCATACACACTTTTTATCTCCAAGTATAGAAGCTTAATAAAACAAAGTTCCTCAGGTAGCTACCGAATGTGGTATCAGTTTTCATGTGTATTTAGATTGTAACAACAGAAGGCAAAACACGGAAGCCAAGGTATATTCTCCATTGATCAAATCTCTGTTCATATACACATACAGTTTATATTCTTTAGGCAATCACTGAGCGTGTGATTCCGGTCAACATTCAACGACATGAAATAGAATGTTCAAATATATACATAGTATTCTGTTGCTAACGGAGTATTGAATTGTGGGAATATGTGAGAATAAGACTACCTAATAGAGTTTTAATCTTTTCAGTTGATGATGTTATTCATCCACATAAATGTTCTTGATGACTTTGTCACCATTACTGCCTCTATTAACATTTAATACATCTTTAGGAGTTGATTTGTAAGGATTTGATTTGTTTTTTGAGTTTGATCACGGAGTGATTGGTATTAGTTTTCAATGGTTCACAAACTGATATCAATCTGTGGTTAAACTCGAAAACCAAATCAACTCTTGAAAATTCTCTAGTGACTTGTTGAAGGACGGAGTTTCCTGGAGTTCCAGTGAGAAGTTGTGACCAATGAGGTTCATCTAATCGGAAGCGAGGATGGAGTTGCCGCCGATGACATTGGTTGATAGTCACACTAATATCACGAATTGGTAGAAGTTAGAATTCATGAGCCATTGAGTTGAGTCCCAGTGGCTGAATGGTCTACAAGCTTGCTGTGTAACCTGTAGGTCCTAGGTTCGAACCTCAGTAGGTGCGTACTGCCGATGAGTCACAGATTAGGACAAAACAACTGTCCAGTACTTCCTGGTTTTCAATGGTTCTCTAACTGATATCAGTCCGTGGTCAGACTCGGAAAACAAATCAAATCCTTACGAATCAACTCTATTCAATACATAGCCAGTAGATTTTGCTTTCAAAATATTTTACACAGATATTGTTTGCATGTTTTTATTTTTGTTTATTAATGAAAAGACAGGTTTAGGTGTATTCCTACTACCTTTCTATGTAGCTGTCAATACATTTTTTCTGTTATTTATGCAAGATCTGTTGTAATATTTGTAAAAGGTATTCCAGTGATTTGTTAATTATACGTGCAAACCTCATTTTAGTCTGTGTACAATTTAAAAAGAAAACACAATGCTGTTACTGTATACCTTCAAGCTTGAACTGTTCGTCCAAAAAATACATACAGTCAAATTAATGTCTCACTCTTTATACTGTTACTATTTTTAAAAAGAATCTGTCTTAATACACTTAGTTTATGCGTCTTTCATATTTTGTTCACTGTAATCTACCTGTGTTAACTAACATAAATTTCGACTTCGTACTGAAGTTCTTTCTACAGCATTCCATTCTTTGTGTATAAATAAATAAATAAAAAGTATAAAAGAGAGTTTGCCAAGATGATAAATGTGTTTATTGTCAACATTGTGTATCACATTTATTTTTCCTACGCTTAAGTGTGATTAGATTCATATTTTCATAGAAGTACTTACTGCTCTTGTACTAAACAAGATGGAGGAAGGCAAATGTAAGTACATATTACACAATGCATTTTTGAGGTAGAACGAATTATTCGTCATCCGTTATCATTTTTATTGAAAACAAATTATTATTATTATTGCTCCCTTAGGTTCCTAGTGGAACATAGGGCTTCAGCTGCACGTCCCCACTTGCTTCTGTCTTCCTCCTGCTGTACTTTTCACCTGCATCCATGTTAGTCCATATTCTTTCAACTCCTCTTCATACGATCTCCTCCATGTCACCCTTGGACGTCTCACACGCCGCTTCCCTTTCGGGTTCCACTCGAGGGCTTGACGCGCGATGTTTTGTTTGTTTGTTCTCATAGTTTCTTGTTGGTGGTTCTTTCCGGTCCGGCCATCTGATCTTCAGTATAGAGCCAGAGAAGGCACTTGTTGATAAAGGTCAGCAACAGGCTGTTGGAAATCTTCTTTGTGACCCGCCCGCCAAGTTTTTGATCCGTATAGAACTGACTTGACGTTTGTATTGAAAATCCTACCGAATTTTGTTGTTGATGCTGAGTGACGAAGATTTCTAGACTGGTTTCAGGTCGATGAATGTGTTCCCGATTCTCGATTTGACATCCTCGTCCTTTCTGTCTGCCTGTAGTTGAGACAATGCTTCCTAGATAAGTAATGGATGAAGTAACCTCTTTCAAATCCCTCCCGTTGATGGTGATTGGCGCTGGATGTTGCTGTTGTTATTGTTGTTGGTTGGTTATTTTCATCACCTCCGTCTTGTCTATGTTCACTTGGAGTCCTGTCTTCGCCGGCTGCTTCTTTGACAAGTTTGTTGGTTTTCGCTTGTAAGTCTTCGATTTTGTGACAGTGACATCAAACATAAACCATCCACGCGCAAAATCCAGGTCTTCTAGGTTCTTCGCGTTGGTCCAGTCTTCCCGTTCCCCACTGTCTGACACATAATCCAGTCCACCACAATTAGGAATGTCATTCATTGGTGATAATAAGCACCCTTGTCTGACTCCTGTGGTTACTCCGAACGCCTCGCTGAGTTTTCCGTTGTGGATCACTTGACATGTGCCTCCGTTGTCGTACAACTGTTGATTAAGGTTGATGAATTAAAAACAAAGGTAAGCCTAAATTCTTTCTCTTCAGGTAATTATGGCTATTAATGAAATTATGTATATAATACAAGTATAAGACATTATTAAAATATTTGTTTTACCAATGTCATTCATCTGTTCAGCTCACCTCATTATGCTTGTCCTGAAGTAATAAGGGTAAGAAGTACTCATGTTAAATGATACAATGCAATGCATGTGTTGTTGACACGATAATAATGATGAAGATGAATAACCTTCTTCTTATTTTGTTCCACTGGTTTAATATATCTATGTTGTATCACTCAGTTGCTTGTTTATATTATCCATTATAGCTTGTTGTATTATTCTTGACTGCTATCATTTTCAGTAGTGCATGCAAACTCTGTGCTTATTACTCAAGTCACTGAACTATTGAATGATCATCTGTGTTCCTTCTTCACTTTTTTTTGTTTAAATCTTCCTCACTTTTTTTCACTGATGACCGCATTTTTCAATTAATTATCCATGTAATAGAAAGAAAAAACTCACCACAGTAATGTTACCAAGGCAATTAAACTAATAAAGCACATAAAACAGGTTAAATATGCTTTCTTTATCAATTGAAGTATTTTGGCATTGTGATTTTAAGGGTAGATTATGTGTTCTACATGAGAAAAAAATTTCTAGTGCGTCTTTTAAGATATTTCTAGTGAACGCCTTGTTGTTGAGAGATGGTAAACCGCAATTAGTCATTGGTAAGTCCAGAATGTTAAGTGAAATATAGTTTCAACAAAACAGGAATGATCCCCATCAGCTGACGACTACTCGAAATTAGAGTGGTTATGAAACAATGAAAATAATACATTTCAGCGTTGAAACGATAGCGGAGAAAATGTTATAGATTTATTTCTATCACCAATTTATACGTATTTCAAAGTAGAATAGGAGAGAGCCGGGGAAAGACAAAAAAAATGGGAAAAAATAATGAACGGTGTTAGCATATTAGAATTATATAACAACTCAAGAACATTACAGCTCATAAGATTAAAACTAGCTTAGTGAGGTGGAATCACTTACATGATTTATTATGCAATCAACGTAGTGAAAATCAAAATGCTGCTACCAAAGGAGTGAAAAGTTGATCACAGTTTCTTTCTGTACACATGAATTTGGTTGAAAACGTTTGATTGCTATCGCTTCAGGGAATTGTAGTAAATTTGGTCTCTTTTGTACGTTTAAATGATTTGGAGATCTTGAAAAACTACCCCCGTATGCAAAAGGTGCTTGGTAATTGCAATTCGTGAATACCTCACACATAATTTATCTATTATTTTATGCCTGAATGCATGAACTTAAACTTCAAGTTTAAATTCATAAGGTATTCTCCTTCAGAGTTAAGCATGAACGTTATTTTTTCACTACTTTGGAAATTTGTACTTGTAAGGTATTTTAATATGAATTATCACCAGCGGATACGTATTTCACTTTAAGGTGATATTCTCACCATTTAAATCCCGAATCAGACAATTAATTGATTTTGTGAAACCAAGAACTTTCAGACAAATCCCATAAAGGTAATAAGTCACACTAGCATTCAAAATGCATAGAAATTAGAGAAAAAGGAAACACTATGGAAGGTGGTAGTATCTTCATGCATGAACTTTCATTGTGTACAGTATTGTCTCATTGTCTATTCCTGACTGAAACGATCACTGTTCTAAGCTGTGTAACTTCTTCCCAGAAATTATGCTGCAGGATTCAAAAGTCGGTCAATTCATATAGATTATTTGAGTCTTTCTCATATGAAACTTTGTCTTGTTATTGTTGTAAAAGCATGAGTCATCCATATTGCCGAGTTTACTGTTTTTGCATTAAAAAAAGTATTTCTATTTCAGTGTATATGATGAGTTGAAAGACTTAATAACTGACTTCTTTTCTAGAAGTACATTCAAACCCTCATTGACGAAATAGACAAGTAGTATTTTGATGACTTTTGAAGGCTTTTATAGCCTAATGACTTAGTAGTGCATATAAGCAACATGATAAATTGATATCAGTCTTAATCTACTTGTTGATGGATATTTGGTTAATATTGATTACCGATTAAAGTATTATTATCAGTAAAAACAAAGAAAGATGTAATAGGTGATTTTTATTTGTTTTAATTGTAAGCACCATTTGTTGGCGGCAAATTGTGGATGTTCATGCATTTATTCCCCTTGATGAATTTGAATAAAGCAAGAACAACAGTGGTTTGTACAGAATAATATGGTACCATCACTGTTTATTTCGTTGGCTTCTCATCAGCTGCCGCTTACAGCCTAAATAAATGATGAGGTTTAAGTACAGAAACGTTTTAACATTCTTGCAAATTTTACATGTTGTCAGTTGACAGAAAATTCCACAATTAGTAAACAGTGCCCAGAAAATTGCGCTTATATAGTTTTTACACAGGCACTTCAAGTTTAAACAAAATAAATGTATGCATATAATGGTAAGGGAGTTACGTATTAAAGATGAGATGTGCGTTAGATGCATAGTGACTAATAAGTTAGGTAACAATGTACTGAGCTCAACTAAAACCATAGAAACAAGAGACAAGCAAAATTACAGATTATAAAAGGAGCGTGACATTGAAGACAAAGATTATGTAATGAGATGAGAGAAAAAAGACATCCAGTTACCAAGGAAATTTTCTGGGCACTGTTTACTAATTGTGGAACTTTCTGTCAACTGACAACATGTAAAATTTGCAAGAATGTTAAAACGTTTCTCTACTTAAACCTCATCATTTATTTAGGCTGTAAGCGGCAGCTGATGAGAAGCCAACGAAATAAACAGTGATGGTACCATATTATTCTGTACAAACCACTGTTGTTCTTGCTTTATTCATCAAATTGTGAATGATTGTTTGTCATCTTTATCAGTTTGTTTGTTGAATAGATTTTTTTCTTTTGCCTAATAATCTCCACTCATGGGTTTATGTCATTTACCAGTCGACTTGGTCAGTATTAAGCTATCGGACGACAGCATACTAGTTTATATTATTATCTTCTCACGTAGAAATTGCTTCCTCATATATATATACATATATCTATTTTGACCTTAAACTAGAAACATGATCTGTTGGCTTATCTATTATGCTTTAAACCAATATATCTCTGAATTGAATTCTTGATTTTCCCGTCGATTGATTGGACCGAAGTGCTCGGTCTCAGGTTGACATGTCGTCTTCTTGTGCAGATGCTTCGACGATGTCTTCTGGCCACTGCTAGCCACCAATCACCAATTGTATACAAATCAAATCCCTAGACATCGTCGAAGCATCTGCACAAGAAGACGACATGTCAACCTGAGACCGAGCACTTCGGTCCAATCAATCGACGGGAAAATCAAGAATTCAATTCAATAATTAATATGACCCGTTGCACAAGAGGTGGCTCTCGTGGCCCAAGTGGTCTAGTGGATAACGCTTTGGCGTTTGAAACTATGGGCACTTGGTTCGAGCCTCGGTGGGAAAATCATCACTCACTGAGAAATGCAGGTACATCCAGCTGACGAGTCCCGAATAGGACGAAATGCGCATCCTGGATTCCACTGCTAGCCACCAATCACCAATTGTATACAATATATCTCTGGTTCAAATCCTGCTCCAATCTTGGGAACTTAGGAGTAATATCATCCCTCACGTAATGTGCATGGCTGAAAGTCTGGTGTATGAAATGTCCTTTTGGTTAACTAAGTTCTGGTTAAAATGCTGCTTAATAGTCTAGTCGTAAAACATATTATAATATGACTATGAAGTCAATGGTCATATCCTGCACAAATGTCATTTCCCTTCTTCTTATATGTGGTTTAAGATTAACTTTATCACCAGTGAATGTGAACCGTTAATTTTCCATTGGAAAAAGAATCTTCAGAGATCTTCAAAAAAGTCAACTTTGTGTCACCTTTATTGGTTAATTTGTAGTATCGTTTACGTATACCATCCAGTCATTGGTATGATTATTTTTTTGTGTGCTGAACTACAGTTGGTGTTGTTGTATTTTTGTTGTTATCTTATAAATGTAATTGTACAATTTATGCTTACACTGTCCCACCCACCCCCCAGCATTGTTTTTTCTCGTTTGATTGAATTATTGCATCATCTCGTGTGATAGCACTTAAAAGTTTCCCCATTATTCAGGGACAACGTTCTACTAAAAACAATATATTTACATTATTTCTGTATTATGTATTTTGTTTCAAAACTATTAGGGCGAAAAATATGATGGACGTATGGCAGATGTTTGGTCTTGTGGTGTAATTTTATATGCTCTCTTAGTGGTAAGTCTTCGTGCTTCAAAATTATCTTACAGAATGCATATATATATATATATATATATATATAAAAATCACTTTTATGCTGTTACGCTATCAATTTATCCAGTTGTAACTCTACAATTTTTATTATACATTAAACTGATCTTCAGCCAGGGAATTGTTGTCTTTTATTTTTACTATTTCATGTCTCCTGGGGTGGGAAACTTTCTCGAGAAAATATGAACTCCATGTATATATATATATATATATATATATATATATATATATGGTGAGAGCAGGCTGCTAGCCAATCGGTAGACATTAATTTACGTGAATGTCTATGTCACTAATATTGGCCGTGAGAAAATGTGAACAAGACTGATTCAACAACCAGTCACAGCAGACTTCACGTGGGCAAACACGATTCGCAGATATATGGCTTAACTTTCTGCGAAACCAGTCACAAGCAGTAGAGAATAACCTTGGGCAGGAAACAACAAGTCAAAAGACTGTGTTTGTCTGCTTGAATAAGCTATAATAATGTACATGAAATATATATAAATACGTGCTGATTTCCGTAATAAAACGATCTGTTTCCGGCCCTTGTCTTCTGTTGTGACATATATATATATATATATATATATATATATATATATATATATATACAATATATATATGGGATTAACTTTCTTCTGCACCTTTCTACGAAGTTATGCTCGAAATATAATGAGACTCTTCTTGCTACTGATCCAGCAAAATGGACCTAGACAAATTGTATACTGTGACAAGCTCTATAATATTTCTTTAGCATTGATTATGTACCTTTTGCTTTCTTAATGTTTGAAGAATTAAGTAACACTTCATGCAACCACGACTCCTAGTTTGTTTAACAGATTATCTATTTACACTGATTTAGTAGTTTACAAAGTATAATGTCGTCTTTTTACTTTTGTCACGAAATTTTCTTCGGAACGTTTGGTTGGAGGTAATCGGCAGGAAGCCTTGGACCTAGGTTTCGTGCTATAGTTGGCACTTACCAGTTAGCAAGGCGTATCTACAGCCTTGAAGGAACTCATGTCCCTTCTGAGATTTGAATCTGCGTCACCCAGTGCCGCAAACATGACTAATAGAATTTAGTCCATACCGAAGATAGGACTAGACACATTGCACTAGTTACTGACTAGTGTGTAATCAAAATAACTGAGATTATGTTGCGAAGCGTATCTTTAAACCTACTTCTGATTCTATTGGTAATGAAAATGGTTGGAATTTTACTATTTGATTTTAAACTAGGAATTAGTAACGGACCGCATCTGTTATTATGGAGACACTGGACTTTGTGCCAGTAATGACTATTTTAAGCACTAACATATGTAAATTAACCCAGAAAATTGAGTTGTATATTAAATCCTCACATGTCAACTATAGGATACATTGTGATTAGCAAACATGACTCTTCTCAGTAAGTTACTTACAATAAGGACGAAAAATGTAGTTAATCCCTGAACTGGTTAATAAATTTCTTCTTGAAAATAACAATCATCATCCAATTGCAGATAAACAACAAAAGTTTCCTATTAGTTGTTTCTAGTGTACAAAATATTCAAGCAATTGGTGTCATTAATTCTATTTTACATATAAATTTGTATTAGTTCTGTTGACTGTCTAGTAGAAGCTATTTAGACTGGTTAATCTGTGGAGTCGGGCATTTATTATGTAAGTTTATCGGTTTGCTAGCAGTAGTTTTTTTAACAATGTTAGCCGATATAGGATCTGGTTGGAAAAGAGCCAGTGGTCGTCAAACAAAAACACGGCTTCATCAGTCAATGAAATCCACACTAGTTAGTTTAAGCCAGCCACATGGGATGATGTAGACTTCCTGGTTGGGGTCCTCGGGACGGTAAAAACCAATGGCGACTGGAGACAATTGGTGATATTGCTCAAAATCGTTCTAAGTGGCTGGCGCAGATACATCCACTCCTTGTGGCTTATTATATCTCATAAAACTGTCTTGTTCATCCATATCCCCATTTTTTTCGCCTTATATCTCTGCTTATTATCTCTGTTTTGAATCTCTCTTTACTTTCTCCTCTTGCTTTGTGTGCTAAGTGAAGTGTGGCAACTCGAACTGATGGACATCGGTGTAAAGTTCTACGTTGAAACCAGTCAGGCACTCAGTTTTCTTAAGACAGACTGGATGGGTTTTTGTTGGTTTTTTACTCCACGATGTATATATATATATATATATATATATACCTGTCCAAAATTTATTCTAGCTATTTTCAGGGGTCTTTATAGCTTTTTATCATATAATCATTGCGTCGTAGTTAACAAATAAGTAAATTACTTGTCGAAACCATGGGTGGTGGATTTGATTCTCAGTAGGAATACTATCACTCACAGGACATTCTGACACCTCTGTCTGTCTGTTTTCGACATAGAACTTTGCACATATGTGCACCAGTTCAAGTCGCCACACTCCCTCCATGTACCACACAAAGCAAGAGGAGAAAGTACAAGAAATGCATAATACAGACAGTAAACAGAGGTGTGAGACAAAGGAAGAGTAGTAACGAAGAACGAAACAGTTTCATTGTATATCATAAGTCATAAGGAGTGGATGCATCTGCATCAGCCATTGAGAACGATTTTGAGCCATGTCACCAATTGTTTCCAGCCATTGGTTTTTACCGTTCCGAGGACTCCAACCAGGAAGCCAGTCTACACCTTCCTACGTGACTAGCTTGAACTAACTGTTGTGGATTTCATTGACTGGTGCCATTCTGACACCTCCATGTGACAGGTCACAATTGGAACAAAATACGCGTTTTTGATTCCACTGCTGGCCACCAGCAACCAACTCAGTAACTTTTTCATTCATTTAAAAATTGTACATTGATTTATATTTGCATGACCATTCAATTGGTGTATGTTAGAATGGTAACAGGAAGATTTATTTCACACATTGTGTTTATTAGTAACTTCAAACACCTAAAGTGTCATAAGCAATACACTTTAACACACATTTCTGTGAATGACTTAAAGTTTTATTTTTAATTAAGTTTTGTTTCACCTAATAAACTGTTTTTTTATTTATATATTTTTGACTAGACTACAGTGATTATACGTTTTGTTGACAAAATGTCAGTTAATAATTCTCGTTTCCTTGTACTTATAAATGTTGTTTACTGTGGACAGTTTTCACGTCTAAATTCTGAGAAAATCTAACATAAGGGGATGACATTAGTCTAGCAGGGCTGCATGCAAATAATATAAATCAGTGGGTTATGTTTGTATTGAAGAGAAATTCATTACCACATAGTATGGTTGTTGTTGATGTTGTTGTTAGTATAATAGAATAGACCAGAGAAATGTTGGTCCAAAGAAAGTAAATGTGCCTAGACTTTGAATTTTCTATCAGAAGGTAAACTTGTAGAATCTACATTTTTAATTGAATTTAGGTGTGAATATTTGTTCCAGGTGTGCTTATTTTTAAAGTCATTATAAAAGAAGTAGAAATTCCTGGATCAAATTTCGACCAATGAACAAGGCAATTCATTTATTTTACATCTGCACTTGTTGTTGAAACAGGAAGTAAACAGAAACTGTCAACATCTAATGTAGTACTGTACTGTAAAGAATAAAGTCACCATATCTGACACCACGTACACGGATTCCTACTGACAGATTCGTCTCAAAACTGAGTTCTGATTAGTTTTCACAATATAGGGGACAGATGTTTCTGTTTGATAATTATGAATCACTTGTCCTTGTAATTGTTATCATTATTATTATTATTCGTGCCTTGGGTACTGAATGGAACAAAACTTCAGCAGCATAATTCTGTTCTCTGCTGCCTGTTTCACCTGCTTCGACGACAGCTAACGCTTTTTCATTCCCTCTTCACATGATCTACTTCATGTCCCCCTGTCACTCCCAACTCGTAATTTTCCATTCGGATTCCACTAGAGAGCCTGGAATTTATTGTCACTTGAAGGCCCCCTTGGCGCATACCTATGTTAACAATGATAAAATTTTTGATTGAGAATATTTCATTAAAATAAATGGAGAAAGTTTTTCTTGTAGCTGTCTGTCATTTTTGAATCTTACAGACATTTTATGTATTATCCAGTCTGATGCTTGCTACTGATTAAAGTTCTTAGTCAACTTAGGTAATCTCTACTTGCCTTCTTTGGAATTAAACTTAGAATCCATTCTGACCCCTGGGGAAACACTGTGAATCCTTCGCTTTCCACTACGTTTTAATGCAATTATTATATACAAATATGAGCTTCCTACTGATAATAAATCCCTTTTTAAGAAAAATTCTAGTTATTCCTTTTAAACAAACAACTATTGATATTTATTTGATCATATTGTGGTGAGAACAGGCTGCTAGCCAATCGGTAGACATCAATTTACGTCAATGTCTAGGTCACTAATATTGGCCGTAACAAAAGATGAACAAGACTGATTCAACAACCAATCACAGCAGATTCAACGTGGGCAAATAAGATTCGCAAATATATGGCTTAACTTTCCGAGAAACCAGAAACAACCAGTCAGAAGACTGTGTTTGTCTGCTTGAATAAGCTATAATAATGTACATGAAATATATATAAATACGTGCTGATTTCCGTAATAAAATGATCTGTTGCCTGGCCCTTATCTTCTGTTGTTACAATATTAAGTGGCTAACATTCTAAGGTTCCCTCATAAAGCAGCATTGAAGGTTGACAATGAGTGCTCTTTAGACAAAATTCAAACATAAGAGAGCAAGCAAACAAACTACAAGAATGTCTAAAATCTGATCTATAAATCCTCAAAAATTCTTCTCATTTTCTCAAGTCTTCTTAATCATTTGTTTGACTACGAGAAAAGGACAAACATTGTAACTAAATTGTGAAGATAATTTATAGTTAAAGTTTCACTTAACCTACTTCCTAAGTACTCATACAATGCTGTTAGTAACCCAGAAACCTCTGTAATTTATACATTGAGGATTGATCCAAAAGCTTGTGCCA